CGTGGGCCGGCGCAGCCGCTGGTTCCTGGGCGCCTGCCTGGAGGCGGTGGCGCGCGCGGGGCCGGCGCGCCTGAGCCCGGCCGCGGGCTACTGGGTGATGGGGCTGTGGAACGGCTGCGAGTACTTCGTGCTGGAGCCGCAGCGCCGGGCGCTGTCCCTGCGCGTGCCGCCCCGGCGAGTGGGCATCTTCCTGGACTGCGACGCCGGGAAGCTGGCCTTTTTCAACGTGTCCGACGGCTCCCACATCTTCACCTTCACCGACACCTTCCCGGGACCGCTCTGTGCGTACTTCAGGCCCAGAGCCCCCGACGGCAGCAAACGCCCCGATCCGCTCACCATCTGCCCGTTGCCCGTTCGAGGAACACGCGTCCCCGAAGAGGAGGACGGTGACACCTGGGCACAGCCTTACGAGCCCTCGGCGCCCCCCATGGACCCATGGTGAGGCGCGCGCTCGCCGGGTGGAGGACGCGCCGCCAAAATGCCAGCAAAGGCGACAGACAGACAGCACAGCGGAAGGGAAACAGAAAGGGACTTGGCCTGCGTAGACGTGTCTCTGTGTTTAGAATTTTCCTTTTTAAAAAAGAGGCAATTCCCAAGCTTGTCTGTGTGTATCATAGGATTGAGAAAGTGAGGAAAACATTGATGTTGCCAGGAGCCACTGTGCTCACCGCCCAAAGGGGGAGGAAAGGGGGAAGGGGGAGGGGAGAAGGGAGACCTATGATTGGATTAAAGATATCCATTAACATACATATTTGTATACGCCGTATTTATTTTCTAGTTGATAAGGAATGAATTCATCTAGGGCTCATATCCCAGTTTTAAATGTCAATTCCTGCTAACGGGAACTTGGGAAGTGGCTGGTTTCCGGGCTGGGACTGAGAAAGCACAGGGCGGATCTGGACCGTGTTGTGCCTTAAAGTGCAAACGTGCTCAAAACTGATGGGACACAGGAGCCGGGTGAAGAGGCGCCGCTGGCCAATGGCGGGACAATTTGAACTTTAAAGAGAATCATTTTTAAAAAATATATTTTTATTTATTTCAGAGAGGAACGGAGAGGGAGAGAGAGATACAAACATCAATGATGAAAGAGAATCATTGATCGGCTGCCTCCCCTCCTACTGGGGATCAAGCCCACAACCCGGGCATATGCCCTTGACCGGAATCGAACCTGGGACCTTTCAGTCCACTGTGCCAAACTGGGTAGGGCTTAAAGAGAATCCTGACAAGAATTGCTCAACAAGGGGCTGAGCAAATAAATGTCGCAAAGTCGGCTGAGCATCAGGTTTCTCAGAGAAAGAACAAACACAAAATACAGAGAGGGGCAAGGAGAGAGGGAAAG